AAGGGGGGGGACCATACTTGTGGACAGCTTTTAATGTGCTTCTCGTTGTTTTTCTTAATTAACATCATTGATGAAATATACACGATCATTGTCAGAAAGTTTGTTACAGGTCACTGTGTTCTGCTGACTCTCACATCAGCTGTTCCTGAAGCAAATAGCAATTACTTTACACACAGACTCTAGAACAGACTCAGTTTTAGTTTAATACAAAATACAAACACGCATGCTGCTTGATTTTACTTATAGGATATTTTGTATCTTATATCACATATATATTCTTTTGCAAAGCACATTGTATGAGATGTGGCACATGAATAAGGTGTATTATTTGTATGATTTCATATCACAGCATATTTGCAAAACTGCAGCGAGAGTACTGCAAACATAAACTTGAATTATGTTTGAGGTTTCACTGAGACAAACGGGAAATAGCGAATGCCTTCCTGTGTGGTTTGTTGCTGATCACGTAACTTCTCTCAAAGGAAGCTAATTCAAAAACCAGACCTGAGACCGAGACAGCTCGCCTGCTTCCGGTGTTAAGGTTACTGCCAGTCTTAATGGTCAAAACCTCTAAATAACATTCAAATGACGCTGTAGAAATTTGTTGGGGAGAGTGCCAAACAGTTGCGACTGCGTTAAACTGATAAATGCCCACACAAGTCTGCAAAATTCATCATCATCATCAGTGACAAGCAAAAACATAAGTATGATTTGCATGATTCAAGCACGCCAGCAATACGCTTTGTGAAGAAAAAAGCCAGACAGATCAGTTGCACATTAAATAATACATGTTAATAAGGAAGTGCCAGCACATGTCAGAAATATATTGTAGCTTATCCCAAAGTGAGTTAAAGTTTGTTGAAGATCTTTATTTTATTCCAAATTAGATTGGCATGGAGCTGATACAGACTTAAAGCCATGATGGAAAGTTAAAGTCTCTGGCTGGAGTCAGTTTTAAAAAACTTTTTGTAGCTCTGAAGTTTAAACATTGCAATGCAGTGTGCAGTACACAAAACTCAGGTAACTCACCATGGGCTTGTCGAAGTTGTCTGTAGATGTCAAAGGATGTAAAAGGCTGCCCAGATAGACGTTTTATATGGTAATGCCATAATTCTAGAGAGCAGGTGTAGAACGATGTCAAGCGTACATAGGAGTGAAATCTAGTTGAAGACTAGCGAGCAAATTAAACACATCAGAAACACTTCGCCGTGCTTTGACTCACTACTGCAGCTAGAGATACTGTTTCATGTTGCAGCTCCTTCCTGTCAGCCTAATTTGCCTTCCTTCGTTGTGGTTAGCAGGTTGAACAGTGAAAACAGAGAGAAGAAAACTTCTCTATTTAAACTGCTAATCAACTATGCAGTTGGCGCTGAACCACAAATGAGAGCTGCAGTGAGAGATAGAGTACATGATGACTGGTGTTAAGGCTCGCCAAAGGAAAGCACAAAGACCTTTAGGTTGCAAATGCACCGGCAAGCACTACTGGAGGCGGGTGATAAGTAAAGATAGCAAGTGTTTCTAGTTAGAAAATTGTAAAGAACAAAGATAAGATTCTCTGTGTTGATTTTGGCAGAAAGCCACAAGTACACATCTCAGACATAAAATATATGTAGGTACTGCACAGCACAAAGACGATCACAAAATAAAGTGATTGACAGTAGTGAATGTACCTGCTCCATTTACACACAACCACAACCCAGCACAAAAAACTGTTAGTCTAGGAACATTTGCTGCCTGAGAACAGGGGGTGACATTTGAGAACTTACTCAGGGATGAAAATGGGGCATATCAAACAGAGAGTAATCACACAGCAAGGAAACAACAACTTGAGCAACAAGGTGAACAACAGCAGTGACACTTAATTGAACATTTGTGAAAGTATTTTATTTGAAACCTGCTACATGTGCATGACACTGGAAGGAAAACAGGGGGAAACAAACTGGAAGGCAATCACTGGAAAGAAAGCTTGTAAATTATGACCTGGGGATATAGATAATATAACATTTTTTTCCCCCAATGTTTTTGTGACATCTTTTGCTGTAGACATGAATATTTGCTGCATGTACACACACTTTTAGTGCCCAGTAAAAAAAATGCATGAGTCTCTTGTTTCTCTTACAGTCGTGTTAGATTTGAATGCTTCTGCTCCTGATGTGTTAATGATCAGTTTTGCTCAGCCATATAATTATTTTCCACTTCTTATGATTGTTGTCAGTGTGCTATACACATGGTATATAGGGCTGAATGTATGTTTAACAAGTGCTTTGAGCAGAACATCAAATTGCATTCAGCAATTTGCAGCGTTGTGTAGCATCGTCAGGAAGAACATGTCGCACATTTTATTCAAGAGTCAACACATTGGTATGTGTATTATTAGGGTGTAATCTTGGGGTGCAATTGCCTCCTTCTTCTTTTTGTTTTAAACTTTCTACATGTACCATTTTACACAAAACCTTAAAATAATGAAGTTTACAATAAAATACATTTATGAACATTATATAACATTTCAAGGGTCAATTTGAAAGCTAAAAAAGGCCTCAATTTAAATGATTTTTAGTGTAGTTTTTCTTTTTTATAGTTGAACTTGTAAAAAGAATCTGGTTTTATATATTTAGATTTGCTTGTCAGATGTGTATTAATAAATGTCAATATTGAGCAACTAGAAGTGAAGAAAATGTCCTCACCAAGGTAAATAAAGCATAAACTGTGCATCACAGCAGATGAGTAAGGCAACATTACAAGGTAAGCAGCACATCAATAGAGCATATCCAAGCTTATAATTACTTAATGGCACTTTGTATTGGCAATTTTACGATTACTTGTAAATTAAGATGGAATCAAAGGTGGAATCAAACTAACAATCCCAATATTTCACCTTTTGCTCTGACCCCAGCTTGTTTTTCAATTTTCAGAATAACTTATCATTTCAGAGTGGTGATAACTGCCCCCCTGAGATTACTAACATCATATCCAGAGTATTTAGTATTTACACTTATGGCTGCAGCAGAGATGGCTGACATTTGCCTCTAATAAATGAGGAATCAGCTGATCAAATAACACGCAAATAAAGGCACAGTAGAGGTTTCTGAGCCACTAAAACACATGTGAAACATAAAATAGCTGATTTTCTTAACACCAAGCAATCTCTCATTTCTAAAAACACTCTTCATTCAAGAAATTTCTTCAACATCCGTCTCTCACATCCCTTTTTCTAATTTTCAAATCAATAAAATGTAAACAGTTTGCTTTAAGTAAGCATACAGAAGTGGTTACAGACACTCATCACAAGTTAGCTAAAGACATTCACATTTAAAAAGACAATCAAGCCCTTGAGTGACAAGAGTCTAAAATGGACTATTACAGCATGTAGCAGGAAAACAGAGCAGGAAGTCGACCAGTCTGAATAAATGTGAGCTTAACAAATATTATCTGGGTTACAAAGTCTGCTGTTAAAACACTGTAGTACCAGCTGAGAATGTGATGAAGGAAAGGTCATTACATTGACAGAGCTTCCTGCATAAATCAAAAGCATGGTTGTTTAAATTTCTAAATTTAAAGGCTTTTTCCACAGTAACATAAACAAGTCAACAAAAATGACCATTTAGGACTCAAGTATTTAAAATAAAAAACAACTCCCTTTTATCTTCCTTTTCCTTTAAAAGTAGTAACCAGCACTGTTCACAGCAAAGGTTATACACTGACCTTTACAAAAATATGTTATTATCTTTACGTTTTTAAATTCAACTCATGGGTTGCCTTATGTCTTAAGTGTCACTGCTGCCGTGAAATATCACACGTCACATACTGGATGCAAGCACACTCTGACAGCTACGAGTCATTTCATCAGTGATCTCCCACAGACACAGAGAAGGACACTTGTGGTGGCATTTGTTTCAAAACAACCGCACAATCAGTTACGCACAGGTCAAATTAACCTCTGATTACCCCCTTCTCTCGCTCTCTCTGCTGAAGTCCTCCAACACTCATGAGCACTTCCAGATGCAAGCGCAGCGATGCAAAACCTAGATTATAGATCTGACAGTCCCTCTGCGTGTTCACTCAGCTCCATGGTGTAATAGTCCAGAGGACGCCTGCGAATAGAGACAACAACATTAACACACACGCACAGACGCACACACAGTGGAGCCTTCAGAATCTACAATTACACTACAGTTTCTAGTCACTCACGTTCAAAGTATTTGAGTAGTTAATAACATTTTATAATTTACCCTTTTCATTGTCCACACTCTGCCCTCTACCTGCCTTATCGACTGCTACCACTACTTCAGTCATGTCATTGCCAGAATGATTTAAACCTGTTAAAATCCACCGGACTGGCGGTGCTCTGGATCAGGGTTAAAGCTGGGGTAGGCAGCTGTTTTCCTGGCATCATTGAACAAAAATGCCACAATAACTTAGCATATTGTAATTCAAATGGTCTGAAAGAAAACCTCTGCATCTCCTCTTGGCTCCGTCTTCCTGCTTTAGAAAATCTATCCTGCGTCGGGTGACTTTTGCCAATCACAGGTCATTTCATGGGAGAAGGCATTCCTATTAGATCTCTTCAGATGGTGAAAACCTGATTCACAGGTGGCAAAAAGGGCATGGTGACAAATAATTGGGAATAACTTTTGAAGGGGTAGAGGTGCATGAGTGTGTGTGACTTTTGCTGGCACTCTTCTGTGGTATTACAGGTTAAAATTCAAAATTAATAAAATTCGCCCACCGGGAGTTGAAATATAGCCACCCTAAATGGTCTTTTTGTATTTTGAAAATGTCAGATATGGATTCAGCATCCTTAATAACCCCCCAAACCACTCCATTATCATCCATATAGGCCAAGCAGTTGCTGAAATATTGTCCATTGTGATTATGCTAATGTATGCAAATTATGTTAATTGTCCAATATATGCTGGTTAGCACCCGACAGTTTCTATATGCTGGAAAACCGATACTTTACATTTCTAATATAAAACTTTGGTTGACTTTACTCAACATTTCTGGGTTTATGTTTCTGGCAAGTAGTTTAAACAACAACCAGAGCACGGCCGTTCTGAATTCATTTCTGAGTAAAACAGACTGATGAGGAGAGTGATGGGGATTAGCATTAGGAACAAGTTTTTCCAGCCAGGAAAACGTGTGAGTAGAATATTGCGGTCAGTGGAGGAATCGATATCTCGGCCACAGCCTTCCCCCCTCTATGACTGTTCTACAAGAAAGGAGGTCTTGCTCTTCAATTCTGAGCTACAGTCAGACACAAAAACCTTTTTCCTGACATTTAGTGCTGACATTTCACACTTTAGGTAAATGTTAAATCTCTGACAGACAGAAATATGGATTAAAAATACACAAAAAAAACCCCAAAATTTTAAAATGTCTTTTTAACCTCATATTTTCATACACTTCAGATACCTCAATTAATGCCTGTATCCAAATGTGCACAAGTGCTTAAAAAGGAGAAACACACAAAAAAAAAAACACAACAAAAACTGAAATCATGAGGGCCTGAAGGTGGCTCCTTTATTTTTGCCTAATCTTGGTGCTCTTTTTTGTTGATGGGCTCTAGTTTTACCACATTTAAAGGGTCACTCTGCAGGTTTAGCATTGCACTTTCAAAGTTGGGAAACATGAACGAATCTCATTTAAAAAAGAAAAACTGAAGCAGCAGAGGCCTGACTTGTAGTCTCTAATATGTGTCAAGTTTCAAAAACCTTGGATCCTACATTTCCAACAATGCAACTCAGCAACATTGTTTGTTAGACCCTTCGTGTCTGATACATGACCACATCTTCATGACATCATCCAGCTTTACTTTGTTAAAGGAATGGTTTCAACATTCTTAAAAATACTTAATTATATTAGAAAATCGATACCACTCTCTGTACAGTAAATATAAACCTAAAGTCAGCAGCAAGGTTAGCTGGGCTTAACATAAAGACTCTGTCTAAAGGTAATACATCTAACAACATCTCTCAAACTCTTTATGTATAAGTTATGTTTATTTAATGTGTACAAAAAAGTGTAAAAACAACAAATTGCTGTTTTACACGGGGTTAGTGTGTCAGACTACCTCTTGGTTGGGACTAGCAACTTTACTGGAGTCTTGACACACTTTGGTTTTTGTAGAGATTAAAAGGACATGACTTAACAGGTTGATTAGTGAGCTTTAGACATATTGTTACATTTGGACAGAGCCAGGCTAGCTGCCCCCCGTTTCTAGTCTTTGTGCTAAGTTAGGTTAGTCACCTGCTGGCTGTAACTTCATATTTACCATGCAGACGTAAGAGTGGTATGAATCTGCTCATCTTGAGAAAGAGAACAGGCGTATTACCCAAAATGTCAAACTTTAAACTACAGGAAGGAGACTGTTAGCTTAGCATAAATCCTAGAAGAAGGGGAAAGACATAGCCTGGTTCTGTCCAAAAAACAAACTATCAGCATCTCTAAAGCTCACACGTTAACAGGTTAGAAAGGTTGAGTTTCAATGTTGGACAAAGCCAGGCTAGCTGTTTCCTGTTTCCTGTCTTCAGTGGGTTCATATTTACTGTAGTCCAGACATGAGAGTGATACCAATCTTATCAACAAGCTCTCAGAAACGTAAATGTAAAAAAGTAACTGTATTACATATTTATATGTCTGTTTCTCATTAGACTGTATATTCTGCATATACTGTTATTATTATGACAACAGTACTACTATTTCACACTGTATTCATCTTAAATATATCATATTTATTTTAGATTTTTACACTTATCTTATATTTACAGTATCTTCAGTGACTCTAATGTAGTTAGTTCATTAGTCCCTTTCCTGAAACTTACTACTTTTTTTATTTTAGACTTGTGCGACCCCAAAGGAAACAGACCAACACAGTGTGAACTCTCTTCATGCAACCAAAGCCTTTTCTAAAATAAGAACAAGGGAGATAAAGGCAGTGGCCTATGAGAACAAGAAACAAAAGAAACAGTGCAAGACTCCCAACAATGAAGCTAAATGAGCATTACTGACTCGATTACACACATTTGTTTTTAAATATTCTATTCACAATGCCCAATCTCTGTGTAATAGAAAGAAGCATTACAAGTCAAAGGGTTAAACAACTGGAAATAATTACGCTTTGTGATGATTTCCAGCAAACCAGCATCAGTGTGCACATGCAGCAGAGAAAAGAGAGATAAGGAGAATAATGCAAATAATAAGACTCCTCACCTCCTCCTGTAGAAATATGTGAACAAAGCAGCTCCTAGTCCCAGTAGCAGGAGCACAGCTACTATCAGCCCTATCTGTAACCCCAGGGCAGACGCTAGAAGAGAGACAAATAAAAACTTAGTTACACTTTCAGAACGGCTTAATGCATAGACAGACACTTTTGCTCCATGTAACAGACTAACAGTGCAAAAGTGAGTATAACGAAAATTCAGATTCTTTTCATCTAAAGGGTTAAATTATGTGTACCTAAAAAAGTTTTGCCTGATTACATTTTCACTTTGTGGTATTAGTCACATATTTCAACTTAAAATGGCTGTAATATGCACCTAACGCATTGTGTGTTTCTGCTAATAGATCCTCCTAAATGTTTCACACTGGACCTTTAAGTACGTCCAGGTCATTTTAACACACCATAGAGCAGACTCAGAGTGCAGCAGCATATATAAGAGCAGAACAGAGTTATAAAAAGTCATAGAAAGACTATGACTGTTCTTCTATATTTTTCATGTCCCTGTTTATGGGGGTATTTCTCTTTATCTTTAGTCAAGAACGTGGCTTCTGGCGAGCTCAAGCGGGTCTGTCCACATACATAAAGGAGGACCGCAGAGAATAGGCACTCGGTGTGAACACGGACCATGCCGATTTTCCTTCCTTCTGTTTCTCCAGCAGAGTACCAGGGTGTGAAGAATGGGCCTGCTGGAGCTCGCTGGATACAGGATTTGTGTTGGTTCAGGGGGTTTGAGAGCCAGCCCTGGGCATTGAGAGCGTTGTTTTCCCGTCTAGCACACCGATGGGAGGCCACTGTGCTATAAGGCTACTATTATACAGTAGTAAACTACGGACGCTTGTATACATTATAACTGTCCCTGTATTCTAAAACTTGTCTGAAAAGCAAAGGGGCGCCCGGTTAGCTCAGTCAGTAGAGCTGGCAACCCATGTATGGAGTTGCTGCAG